AAAAAAAAAATTTAATAGTAATTTTTATATGAGACTATACATATATTTGATCTACATAGTACATTGGATACCCCAATACGGCGTATTTCATAGGTTAATAGTAAAATTACGTGGCCGAAGGCCACGTGATTTACTATTAACCTATGAAATACGCCGTGTTTACTGATATCCATTGAATAACTGGATTATCCTATGAGTACGACGTAACAACCCGTGCAACACGTCATTCAATTAACTTCCGGTAAGTAATTTAAACTTTTTTATTTTAGTACGTAGTGATTTATTAGATCAATCTAATCATTTGCCTTTTTTATTATTTTTAAAAAAAATGAGCACAAGAAACAACATTGCATCAACTGAAGAAGAAGTCCTCGAATTACAATGAATCTCTTGTGTGGAGAACATTGACAAGTGTATCTCTAAGTGGTTACACTGTGTTGACCAGTTCTGGGAAACTATAAAGTATAAAAGATGGATTGAACAAATTGAGTCTATACCAGAATTAGAAGATTTCTTTTGCAAGTTTCTTACCTGGTTAAATGAAAAAGATTATAAGGCAGAAAGCATTCACAATTGCTACTCTTCTGTAGCTTGTTACCTAAAAGAAAATAATGAAATTACACCATGTAAGTTATGGGATTTTTATCATTTTAATAAAGTATTGAGAACTCTTAATAGTAAAATGAAATGACTTCAAAGTGTGAGTTTGAAAGAAACAGATCAAGTATCTGCATTGACTGCTGAGAAGATTTTTCAGATACTTGATCATGAAAAATGCAAGTTAGTACTAATAAAGAGTTGGTAAAATAGGTATTCTTTTGGCTATCACTTCTTTGCGGTCTATGAGATAATGATGCCAAAAGAATCAAATTTAAAGATATATCACATTGAGATAATAGTAGTTTATATTTAACTTTTAACTATGAGAAAAATAATTAGCATGGAGTATTAAAAAGAAATATTTATAAAAAAAGTTCTGTGTAAAAGATTCTTATTCCTTCTGATTATATAAATAACAGGTTTAAGCCTATTTATGATATACTACATATGATTTCATTATACCTTGTAGATTCTTGTATATCACTTTTTTTAGAAACAATATGAGTAGCAAAGGGTTAAATTATTTGCTTTTGTTTTTTTTTTGTTTAAAATTGTAGTACTAATTTATTTTATTTTTTCACTTTTTTGAGGTGCTAAAGTGGTTTCTTTGAAAAATTTTATAGTTGTTAATGTATAATTTCCAGATTTACACATATTAATTCTACTATTAGTTTTTTTAGCAATAGCTTCAGACTCATCATTAATTCTTTTGTATGCTTCTATAATTATTTCTCTATTATTTGCTTTAATAAAATAATATTTGTTATGTAATGCACAAAAATCTTCTTTAACTCTATACCATCTTTTTTCACATCATAAAACTCAAATCTATTTGCTATATTTTTATGAATTAAGATGGTTTTATCTTGGTAACTCATGCTATTTTGCTTTGAACTAGATAATACAAAGTATCAAGGATGTTGAGCTTTGAGTCTTTGACTCATTTCTGATTCTCTTATCTAGAGGTCGACTGCTAGCGCACTTGCCTTTCTCAGCTGAAGTGTTAGTAAATTTTTATCGAATGATATAAGAACACCTTCAGGAGTTGCTAGCAGATTTTGCTCTGAAATAACATTTTCAGTTTGAAATATATTTTGCTCTGAAGTAACGTTTCCTACATTTTGCATTATAAGCAAAGCTGGTTAGCATTATCTTTTACGAAGGTTTCTATTTAAATTTATGTGTTTATTAAGATCTCGAGTTTTATCAGTTTTTATTACTTGATCACAACTTAGACATTTAAGTATCTTAGCCATAGTAATATGTTTTTTCAGTATTTTTTATTAATATACCAGATCTTTTGTTTAAATAAAAGATTACTATACTCTGCTTCACTTTGCAACTGCATCACTCATACCTAAGATATATACTCCTTAGTATTAAGAAACTAATTGTGAATTAAATAGATAACTAATGCTATGCTACACTTCACATTCAGAGTCGCTATACTTCTCTAGTACAAAAAACTAAATAGAAATCAAATATATAACTATGCTCTGCTTCACTCTGCAACTGCATCGTATACCCTTAGAGGGTGTACTCCTTAGTAATAGAAAGCTAAATAGCTATCGAAATAGATATCAAAAAAGTACACTAAGTATGTAGTATATATAAAAATACATCATTCATGTAAGTTTTTTATATATTATATATAAGTTATATAAGTTATCAAGAATACGTTAAAAACTTGAAAAAAAAAACAAGAAAGAATAGTGTTATCAAAAAAAACATAACCGTATACCTAAAAAGCCCACTAATCTAATACTGACTTTTCAATATTCCTTTAGACTTGATTTCAGTTCTCTTGTAATTTTCCTATTAGTTGGTATATCCTTCATAGTAAATCCTGTTAGTCATCTTCTCCTTGTATTTTAGAGTTTAAAGTTTCAACTTGGAATTCTACAGAGAAGGTTACTTCATATCTATAGGCAAGGTAGAAAGGTTTATGCCTAGTAGTATTATACCTCATAGTCCTATAGGCAAAAAGAGCTGAAGGTATATACAAGTCCTAATCATCCTTGTTTTTATTAGAGAACTTTACTAGAGTTTCACACAAAGTCTTGTTAAAACGTTTAACAAGTCTATTAGTTTGAGGATGATATACAGAAGAGAGTTTATGCTTTACTTCTAATTGTTCATAAAGAGAATCTAGTATTTCATTTACAAAATGAGTTCTTCTATCAGTTAGTAAGATCTTAGAACACCCATGTTAACAAATTATATCCTCATAGAAGAATAGTACTACTAAGGCAGCTTTAGCATTAGTTAGAGCTCGGGCTTTTGGCTACTTGGTTAAATAGTCAGTAGTAATCATAATATACTTATTGCCTCATTCAGTTGTAGGTAAGGGTCTAATAATATCCATTCCTATTTGATCAAAGGGTTGTCCAACTTTTATAGGATGCAAAGGTTCAGTTTGAGTAAGTTTGTTTTTTTATTAGTATTTCTTACAGGATTGTATATAGGTCCTAATATCTTCAAATATTTGGAGCCAATAATATCAAAGAGCTGTTCATCTAAAAGTTTTATTAATTCCAAAGTATCTAGCAAGAGGGTCAGAATGCAAGTTATATAATATTGTTTTTACTTCATTATGCTTTACTACTTTAAAAGGTCGAGTAAGTTCCTTTTTATTCTACTTGTATAGTAGTCCATTTACTACTATGAAATATCGAGCTTTGTTTTTAATTTTCTTTTATTTATTCTTATTCGAATTATTAGGTAGAGTATGATCAGTAAGAAATTGTACTAATATATAATATGTATTTAAATCTATAGTCCGTTGTTATCAATATAAGTATCTGTTAGTGGTATTTGCTAGGTAATATCCAGTTAATAATTAGAAATGTGTTGTTTTCTAAAGTTGTATTCTACTTAGTAGATCTACATTTGAATGTACATGTCCAGGTCAATTAATCATATCAAAATCATATCTATTTAAAGCTATTATTCAACGTCTAAGGCATCCAGTAGGGTTAGCTATATTTTTAAGGTAAGTTAATGCAGAGTGATCAGTGATAATAGTAAATTTTTGTCCATGTAAGTAATAATAAAAATGTTTAATAGATCTAATTACTACTAGGCATTCTAGTTCAGTAATTGAATAATTTTTCTCGTAAAGCTTTAGAGTTCGACTAGCATAGACTATTACATGCTCCTTATTATCATTATCCTTTTGTGAGAGTATTGCTCCTAAGGCAATAGTTGATACATTAGTATAGATCAAGAATAGTTTCTCAAAGTTAGAGTAGGTAAGTATAAGTGAAGTTGTTAAGCAGTCCTTTAATTTTTGAAAAGCATTTTGTTAGTTAGTAGTTTAGATATAATCTATTTTCTTTTTGAGTAATCAATTTAAAGGTTCAGCTATTTTAGAGAAGCTTTTTATAAATTTACAGTAGTAAGATACAAGGCCTAAGAATCTTTAGAGTTGAGTAGTATTTTGAGAGATAGAGTAGTTTTGTATAATCTGTATTTTAGAAGGGTCAGTTTCAATACCTTTTTCACTAATTATATGATCAAGAAAAAGTAGTTTTTGTTTAAAGAAGAAACATTTTTCAGAGTTCAACTTTAAACTAGCTTCCTTGAGATATTCAAATACTTGTTTAAGGTATTCTAAATATTGTTCAAATATTTTTGATACAATGTTAATATCATCTAAGTAAACTACTACAAAGTTCTAAAGCAAGTCCCTTAAGACTATATCTATTAACCTTTGAAATATTACTAGTATATTACATAACCTGAAAGGTGACTATGAATTCATAAGTACCAAACTGAGTTATAAAGATAGTTTTTTCCTAGTCCTGGAGTTCTATAAGTATTTGCTAATATCTACTAGCTATATCCAAACTAGTGAACTATTTAGAATATGCTAGAGCTTCCAGTAGGTTATCAATTCGAGGAAGAGAGTAATTATCCTTTTTAGTTGCAGTATTCAATTTATGGTAGTCTATACAGAATCATTGTTTTCTATTTTTTTTATCAACTATTACAACTGGAGAGGTCTAAGAGCTTTTGCTAGGCACAATTAAATTATGCTTGAGCATTTTCTGGATTTTCTCCTTAATGAATTACTGATTTTTATACAAGGTATAGTAGAAGTTTTGTTTAATAGGAGTTGCATCCATGAAGATAATATGAGTTATAGCTTTAGTTCTTCCAAATTTATAAGGTTCCTAAATGAATAGGTCATCGTATCCTTTCATGAATTCCAAAAATATTTGTTTGTTCTGAGGTTCTAATTCACCTATGTTATATTTTTTCTTATCTAGTTTCTTTAGTTCATCCTTAGACTTTAGCTCAGATTCATTATAGTATAGCTTAGTGTTAAATTCAGTATAGACTTGTTTATGGATTTCCTGTTCGATTTTTATGGCTTCCTCCTTAGCATAGCAAAATAGGCTTTTACTAAAATCAAAGTCTTCTTCATATTCTTCCTCATCATCTGATTCTACTATTTCATCCTCTACTATTAGTTTATCTTTTTGCATTTCAAAAACTTCAATACTAATTTCATAGTAAGGGAGTTGTTGTAATTCAATTTTAACAGTAATTACTTTGTTATTCTAGTAGATAGTCATGGTATTATCTTTGTAATTTATATTTGCTTTTGTTTTCCTTAACTAGTCATTTTCTACAATAGCACTATAGGAATTAGACTTAGTAATTATGGCATCAAAGAGGATTATTTAATCACCTATTTTCAAGAGAATATCAGAGACTACTTCTAAAGGTCAATAACATTCACTATTTACATTAATTATTACTGTCCTAGAAGCTTGTGTTATTTCTATATTCAGATCCTTTAGTAAGTTTAGAGACATTATACTTCCAGCTGATCCAGAGTTAATGATGAGAGAGAATTTAATATGTTTAATAGTGATATCATAATATAAAGAGGTAGATTTTTCCTCTATTGCTTTGTTTAGATTTGTATTAATTAAACTTCCACTAGGTTGTCTATCATCATGTTCCATAAACTCAAGGTCATCATCATCAAGAGTTGAGACAATTGGCTATTCAGATGTTTTTCCATTATTTGTATTATCAGAAGGGTCCTTAGTGTCTTTTTTATCAGTACTTTCAGTTGCAGATACTTTTTTAGTTATAGGCTTTCTAAGCTTTTCAGTCACGGCTCTACTAAATTTAGAATTTATTGCTAATAATTGTCTATTTGTTATATTTGCAAGTTGGTCGAAGAATTGTTGAGGAGTGTAGGGTGTAATCATTTGGTTTACAGGTAGCATAGCTACTGGTTTCCTTTTTGTATAAGTCCTTAGTTATTTCTTTTTTATTTGGGTCATCAGTCCTTTCATCTTGTTCAACTTATTGTCTTTTTGCAAGGTATGTTTCCAGAGTTATTATATTAGAAGGAATTGTAGGTTAGGCTATACACTCACCCTCATGAGGTATGCCTCCTAGTTTAAATGTTGTTGCTATTGTTGTTGTTGTTGAGCTTGTTGCTATGGTTAAACTTGAGGTTGTATCTGAGTTTGCTGCATTAGATAGTGAGGTTGGGCTTGCTATTGTTGTTGATTAATAGGTGGTGCTTGTGCCTGAGGTTGAATTATAGGTTGAGATTGAAATTGTTATACAGGATTATTAGGTACAAGTTAGGTAAGAAGTTGCAAGAGTTGGTTGACTTGTGGAGCTTGTTCAGGTTAAGCAGGTTGCTAATTATTTGATACAGAATTTATAGGATTTACTAGGTTTACAGGATTAGCAACAAGAAGTACAATATTTTGATAGTTTATATTTTGAACTTGAGGACAGATTCTATGAGTATGTCTAGGTTGTCTATATTGATAGCAAACAAAATTATTTGGCCTTTGAGGTTAAGATCTAGGTTAGTAAGATTGAGGTTGATTAGCCTAAGATT